ATATATAAATTTAAAAAAAAAACACTTAATAAAATTTTTAAGTTAAAAAATCGTTGATGTTGATCGATTTTGCGCCTTTTTGAAATAATGCGCCTATGGCATTCGCCATACTTGCCATACCCTAGATACGCCACTGATACCTACCTTTGAAAAATATCTCATTTATGCCTCAAAAATACCTCAATTTTTACGTAAAGTCTTAATGATATGTTACAATGTTACACAGATAAGTTAGGCCTAGCTAACCCTGAAAGCTATGTTACACCGCTAGGCTAGGCTTAAGTAGACTTTAATTGTATGTTACACGCCCTATTGGGCTTAGCTGGGCCTTAATTATATATTTTCTATCAAATTAGTCTCAGTTAGGCCTAATGATATGTTATACTCCTCAAATAGGCCTAAATGATATACGTTGCCTAATGGCCTAACGTTAGGCCTAATTAAGCCTGAATGCTATATAACACCGCTAAGTTAGGCTTAAGTAGACTTTAATGGTATGTTACACCACTCCATTAGGCTTAGCTAGGCTCTAACGGTATACTCTAGTAAATTAGGCTTGCTTAACTAAGCCTTAATGATATGTTACACTGAAAAGTTAGACCTAGCTAAGCCTAAATGCCCTACACAGACAAGTAAGGCCGAGTTAAGCCTGAATAATATGCAACACCACTAGGTTAGTCTTAAGTAGACTTTAATGGTATGTTACATCACTCCATTAGGCTTGGCTAGGTCTTAATTAAACACTCGATCAATTTATGCTTAACTAGGCCTGATTGCTATGTTACATACACAAGCTAGGCCTAGCTGAGCCTGAATGCCATTTAACATTGCTAGGCTTGTTGTTGTTGTTCATTTACGTCGCACTAGAGCTGCACAATGGGCTATTGGCGACGGTCTGGGAAACATCCGTGGAGGATGATCCGAAGACATGCCATCACAATTTTGATCCTCTGCAGAGGGGATGGCACCCCCGCTACGGTAGCCCGACGATCTGCACGCGAACGCTAGGCTTGGCTTAAGTAGACTTAAGTGGTATGTTAAACCACCCCATTAAGCTTAGCTTTTCTTTAATTACATATTTTCTATCATATTAGGCTTAGGTAGTGTTGAGGATTTATAATACCAGATGGCGCTGAGCGCAAACAATTTTTTTATTATTTTTTCTTAGTTTCAGTTTAGATTCAACCCACTGAACCACAATGAAATAAAATAATTTGAATCATTACAATTTGTGTAATTATTGTTGAATTCGAGTTATGGTGCTACACCGGCCGAAAAATAGGCCACCTGCATGAAATGTAAGTTAACATTTGTTTTGTTTTGGTCTCCCTTAAGTCGGTAATTTATTTTGATATTTTATTAATTAATTGTATTGTATTTATTAATTGTATTGTATTTATTATATTAACGTGCGAGCTGTTTATAATGGATGATTTATGGAAATGGAATGGATGGAAAAATTAAAGTCCAAAAGAGCTGTAATCAGACATCTGATTACAAAATTAATAAATAAAATTGGCAAATTGTTATTAGAAATACATCCTGATGATACTTTGTTTGATTATCTTAATCAGTTAAATGAAAAAAACGAAGCTTTAAAGGCTCTTGATTTGAAAATTGAAAATTATTTTGAAAACAGCGAGGAATTTGAAAGTGAAATCATACAAAGTCAAGAGTATCAAGATCGAGTAGTGGCTTATAAAGGCAAAATTGAAAGATATTTACTGAAATGCCAGACTACAAGACAGGAAGTAACGGTTAATAGTGGTAACAATAATTTACAAGAAAATATAACTTATGGAAATATCTCGCACGTTGCTAACGTTAAATTACCTAAATTGGAGATAAACAAGTTTTTTTGGTGATGCCTGTGAGTGGCACAGTTTTTGGAATAGCTATAACATAGCTAAACATAGTAATGAGAGTCTTAAAAAAATTGATATGGTAATGTAAAGAAGTTGGTTAGAATTTTATTTGACTCTGGTAGCCATCGCAGTTTTTTGAAACGTGATATTTGTAATGAGTTGAACCTCAGGACCATTAAAACTGAACGGTTGCATGTTTTCGGTTTTGGAGAAAAAATTTCCAAGGGGTGTTCTTATGATTTAGTGAAAGTGAATCTTCAGAACAAAAACGATAAAAAATTAAATGTGTGCATTGAAGCATTTGTAGTAGAAAAAATAACGTGTGGGAAAATAGCCGCACCCCATGAGAGAATTAAACAATTAGCAAGGAAAAATAATATTTTTCTTTCGGATACCGGAGAAATTGCTGATATAGACATTTTGATCGGCGCCGATTTCCTACATGACGTAATCTTTGATACGTCTTTGAGGCTGGGAAAAGGGCTCGTTGCAACCGATAGTTTATTTGGTTTTGTGGTTCAAGGGAGATTCATGAATAATTGCCAATTAAGTAGGATTGTAAACAATACTATAATATCTGATGTTGATTATTCTTTGTTTTGGAACCTTGAAGGATTAGGAATAAATACTATGAACGAAGAAAATGTTGATAATAAAAGTGAATTGTTAAAAGGTTTTAATTCTGATTTGCATTTTGAAAATAATAGGTATAGTGTGCGACTTCTCTGGAGACCAAATACAAAACATTTGTTAAATGATAACTTTGAGCTGGCTTCAGAGAGGTTTGACAAATTAAAAAGGAGATTTAAAAATGATAAATCCTTGTTTGAAGAATATAAAAAAAATTATAAAAACTTACGAAAATGAAGGGATAATTGAGAAAGTTAAAAACACTGATCCCCAAAATTATAAACAATGTTATTTACCACATAGGGCGGTTACAAGAAACGATAAACTAACTAGCAAATTAAGGATTGTATTTGACGGTTCCGCGCATAAAAAATATGAATTGTCTCTTAACGATTATTTGTATATTGGGCCAAATTTATACCCAGATATATATGAACTTATGCTAGCGTTTCGGGAAAACAAGATTGCTTTTATAGGGGACGTTCAACAAGCTTTCTTACAAATAGGGATTAATGTAGAAGATCGAGATGCCACAAGATTTCTTTGGTCAGATGACCCCGATAATGATTCGTCTACACTACAGTAATTTATAGATTTTGCCGCGTACTATTTGGTATCAACTGTAGCCCTTTTCTCTTAGCGGCTACTATTAAAGAGCATATTAAAAAGTTTGCAAAATCAAAGCCTCTTGCGTATGAATTACTAAATGAAAGGGTATATGTCGATGACGTCATAGGGGGAAGTGACAGTACAGATACAGCATTTCAAATAAGTTCTGATTGTGTTGAAATATTTCGGGATTCGGGCATGGTATTGAGAAAGTTTCAAACAAATGATAAAAAATTACGTGAATTATGGAAGAATGCAGGTATAGATGTTCAGAATGAAAAGGAATCGTTAGGTCAATCAGGCTTTCCATTTAAAGTTTTGGGAGTTTGTTGGGATCCTAAAAGAGATTTATTTTACTTTGAGTTCAAATATCTGTTAAAATTGATAGACACAGGGCAAATAACAAAACGATTTATTTTGAAAATCATTGGGCGTATTTTTGATCCAGTAGGATTTTTGGGATCCTTTACAATGCTTCTAAAATCTCTAGTTCAAAGCATTTGGAAAAGCGGATTGGAGTGGGATCAAGAGCTACCCTTAGATATGGAAAATCAGTGGCGCGAAATATGTAAACAATTCGGTGAACTTAATGATTTGAAAATACCGCGTTATTATTTTTTCGAAGCAGGTAACAAAGAAATTATAAGTTCACAGTTACATATCTTCTCTGACGCCAGCTTAAAGGGTTATGGTACAGTTGCATATATCAGATCAGAAACTACTAATGATGGGCATATTTCTACATGATTTGTTTCAGCTAAAAGTAGAATTGCGCCCCTCAAAATGATTACATTACCACGACTTGAGCTATTAGGTGCCCTCCTCTCTACTAGATTATTTCGAACTATTACTAGAGCCATAAAAATTCCGTGTGGCAGTTTCTTTTGGTGCGATTCCTCTATTGTGTGTTGTTGGGTAAAAACTCCTGCCATTCGTTTTAAACAATTTGTGCGTCACCGATTGGAAGAAATTCAAGAGATTACTCAACCTAAGGACTGGTTCCACTGCCGATCTTATTAGTAGAGGTGCTTCCATGAGTATATTGAAGAATTCCGACATTTGGTGGAAGGGTCCACCTTGGTTGTCCCTTCCGACCGAAATGTGGCCAGAACTGAAACTCTTCAAAGAAAATGATGAACACATTGAGTATCGTAAAAATGAAATCACCGTTATGAAATGTGTAGATGGTGAAGAACTTGAGTTGATAAATATCGCTAACTTTAGCAACCTCGAAAAAAGTTGTTAGAATCATAGCGTGGGTAAAGCGATATTTGAACTGTTTAAAGAAAGTTAAACCAATATGGACACTTTGACTGCAGAAGAGCTCCGAAATTCTGAAGATATACTAGTAAAGCTTACTCAAGCAAAATTCTTTGAAAGTGAGATACGAGCTCTCCAATCTAGTTTGCTTATTCCAGCTTCTTCTATTTTCATTTTAGCTCCTTATCTTGATGAAAAAGGTATCCTGAGAATCACAGGAAGATTGGACGAAGGAGATTATTCTTTTGATGAGAAAAAGCCTATAATCATACCAAGACAGTCTAAATTTGCAGAGTTGCTTGTCAAGCGAGAACACGAAAATGTATTTCATTCTGGAGTAGAGAGCACTCTAGTAGAAATTAGGAGAAGATTTTGGGTGCCTAAAGGAAGACAATTAGTATAAAAGGTTGTCTCAAAATGTTTGATTTGTCGCAGATATACAGCCAAGCCTTCTACCCAAATGACTGGACAGCTTCCAAAAGATCGAATTAGTGAAACTCCTGCTTTTACCGTATGCGGAATTGATTTTGCCGGATCAATCTACATCAAGGGTGAAAATGGAATAGAGAAATCATATATATAGCCTTGTTCACATGTGCAGTCACGAGAGCAATACATCTTGAATTAGTCACAGACATGTCTACTTCAACTTTTCTGCTCGCATTCAGAAGATTTCTCTCTAGAAGAGGTGGTTGTCATACAATCTACTCCGACAACGCCAAGACTTTTAAATGTACCGATAAAGAGCTTCATAGACTATTTGATATTTTGGAAAATTCAGAATTTAAAAACTTTCTTGCTGCTAAAAGAATATCCTGGAAATTCATCGTCCAACTTGCCCCTTGGTGGGGAGGATTTTATGAAAGATTGGTAAAAAGTGTCAAAGAGCCTCTAAAGAAAATACTTCGAAAAGCTCTTTTAAATTTTGAAGAGATGACCACTATATTGACTAAAATCGAAACCATCGTTAATCTTCGACCCTTGTCCTACGTCACTGACGAAATTGGTGAACCGGAAATTCTTACCCCATCACAATTTTTAACCCCTGGTAAAGAAAAGGCAGAGTATCCAGCCCATTTCATAGAAACCATCCATAGAGAATCCACCAAAAAGATTCTTATAAAAAGAAAAGAATACCAAGCTACATTATTGGCTAATTTATGGAAGCGCTGGGGGGAGCGCTATTTGTTTAATTTGAGATCTGCATACAATTTTACTTCTCCTAACCTAACAAAATGTTTGAAAGTGGGAGATGTGGTTTTGATGAAGGGCACCACAAAATCAAAACTATTATGGGACATAGGTATTATAACAAAAGTATTTCAAGGGCGTGATGGACTTGTAAGATCTTGCCTTATTCGCAAATTCAACGGCGAATATAAACGCCCAGTACAACTTATTTATCCTTTAGAACTCAATGACTGAAATGAACAATGATAAACTTTAATAGTTTATGTTTTTTTTAAATTTTCTTTCAAGTGAATATTTGCATCTCATTTCAAATTTATTTGCATTTAAATGTTATTGTTTTTAATATGTTTAAGTTATTTTTGTCTAATTTTTATGTTTAAAATTTTAGTGAACTCAGAGGAGTTCAAGTGGGGAGTGTTGAGGATTTATAATACCAGATGGCGCTGAGCGCAAACAATTTTTATTATTTTTTTTCTAAGTTTCTGTTTAGATTCAACTCACTGAACCACAATGAAATAAAATAATTTGAATCATTACAATTTGTGTAATTATTGTTGAATTCGAGTTAGGTAGGAATGGATTATATATGGCTTAACTAGGTCTTAATGTGTTACTCTCCCTCAATAGGTCAAAACGAAATGTTACACTGACAAGTTAGGTCCAGGCTAACCTGAATGATATGCAACACAGCTTGGTTAGGCTTAAGTAGATTTTACTGGCATGTTTAATGCGCCAACATGTTAAGCTTCGCTAGACCTTAATAATATATTGCACCACTAATTTAGGCTTAGCTAGCTAGGCTTAATGGTATGTTACACCACTGTTAGGCCTCGCTAAGCCTTAGTGATGTTACACTGAAAAATCAGACCCTTGGATCAAGCACGTAGGTATAGTTTTTTTTATGGGGGGTGTTTTGTGATTGAGGAATTTATTAACTAGAAGTAATTTAATTAAACCAGTTACATACATACAAGTAATCTCATTTCGGTTAATTTTGATAAAATAATCTAATATAGAAATTTTCACCGTAAGCTTCATTTAAAACTAAAAATCACAACCAGTGATCTAAATGAGATCAAAATAAAGGCAAGACATAAACGTCGTTGATCGCTTCCCTTCGATTGGGAGATAAGAGAAATTCAAATAAAAGAACATTAAAACAAAACCACCGTTATTGTCAAAAATTCACGTATAAAATATCAATAAAAATTCATCTGTTCACCGCAAATTATAATATGTGCAGCCAAAATAATATATAAAAAAATGAATTCTTTACGAAGTAGAATATATGGGTAATTTTCAGAAAATACGACACATAGGAAATTTTTTTTTTTTATTTTTAACCCTTTGGATTGGATTACTATATTTTTTTTTAAAAAAATACTAGTTTATTAAGGTAACTCTAATTAATACCTTATAGAGAGCAATGTACAATAGTTAGCAAGCATTTAGCAGTTTGCAATTATTCCTTGGCTTCAAGTGCCAGAAAAATTACAATTTGTAATTTTATAGCTTTTACTTCCATGTTCCATTTCATTTTTAGTTGGTCTTTGTGCTATTAATCACAAGACTATATTAAACAGCTCAGATTGAATAATATAGTTTATATTAATTATTTAGAGAACGCAGGAAAATGACAATGTGTAAAATCATTCCAAAAAGCTAATAATAATGGCGTTAAACAAACTTTAAAAAAAATTGTCATTTTATTCTATATCCGCACGGATTTGTACCGCCACCTAGTATAACTTGCAACACTGAGAAAAAAAGTGTGTGTGGAAGCAGAGCTGTAACGAGCTACAAAAAAGCTATCTTCCAAATAATAAGAAATAAATATTGTGCATAAAATTACAGTCCACTTCTTTCTTTTATTGAGCGAGCTTTTATTTACCTGAGCGTCGACATGAGTGGTCCGCTCACCAGAAGGAACAATCAGTAAAATTAAAATAATTAACAAAAAGAGTTTCGTTTCGAGTTCCAAGAGATAACCATTGTGGACAGTGTTTCGAGAAAACTGTGGATTCGTGCTTTCCCATTCAAAGTAGGATTGTTTTGATTTTTTAATAAAATACTTTAATTTACCATGTTTAAGAATTGTAAAAAAGATGATTTAAGGCTTATTGCCTGTGAACTAGATCTAGAGATTAGTGATGATATGACTGTGGTAAACTTAATTGATATAATTAAAAGTTGTGAAAAATATAAAACTGACTCTGAAATTGTTAGTGATCTTGTAAATTTAGTAGTAGAAGAGCGCAAGTCTGAAGAATCAAAACAATTAAAGTTAGAGAATTTAAAGCTCGAGAGAGCGAAAACTGAACTAGAAATTGCACGTATTCGTGCTGAGCCAAAGGAGCTCGAGAGAACAAAAACTGAATTAGAAATTGCACGCATTCGTTCTGAGCCGAAAGAGAATAATATAGAGCTAATTGAATC